TAAAGTCTGATGTAAATAATTAGCTTCTCTGTTACTCATTGTAGAAAGTGTCATTGGCTTTGGCAAAACATGCACTAATCAGCAACAGTGTGCTTTGTAAATTGAGTAAACTAAAACCAGCATACATTCCCATGTGACATGGTTTGCATTCCTCACAGAACCACGTTAAACAGCCTGTTGAAACAGAAATAACGAACACCTCATACCTAAACGACAAAATAGGTTGATTATTACTTGTCCTAGAATGACGCATGTCGTCTGTTGATGACCGCACTGGTAAGTACCAGTCCTGTGACAGTGGGCTATTATGTCTTAAAGAAATAAATTAAGTATGGTGTAGTGAGGCTGTTTAGTGTAAAAGAGTGGGTCAGCTTGCAGTGCTGCAGGAAGCCGCTGCGTTGCCAGATGCCTTTTAACATCATTCCCTAAGAGATCTGTATTATGAACAGTTGATAATGGACAGCTAAATATAGAATCGCCACACACTCTGAAGCACTCTGTCCCTTCAAAGTCGCTGGCTGCACAGTGGCCTGTGAATAGAGAAAGAGCTTGTCTGTGTTTATCATCACAAACTTTGATTCCACGTGAGCTGTGATTCACGAGGCAGGAGAGTCCGTTCTCGGTGTGGTGTTGTTTTTTTTTCTTCTTCCTTCCCCACCTCTCCTCCTCTGCAGTCGCCTACTGTGACTAACACTGATCGGCCTTCAGTGTTGCTGGAACACTGCTTTGGCATTCAGGGTCCCAGCACTCTGACCATCTGCATGAGTAGCTAAAGTGAACTAAATGACACAGCTTTATATTGTTCAGCATTCGTCAGAGATTGTCTTTGTCATAGCCCAAGAATGCTGCTGAGAAGATACTTAAAATCTCAGCTCAGCATCAGCCCACTCTGGTCCACAAGTCTCTCCAAATGCATTCTCTTATCACATTTCTGCATCTCGATGTTGAGTTGTCTGATATTGCACAGTAGACATGCCCTGCTTTGCCCTATCTGGTATCAGATTATCAATATTATGCCTCAAAACAGTGTTTGGATAAGGGAAGCATCTCACTGTCCTTTATTTTCGTGTCCTGTCGCATGTAAATGTGGGCTTTCCCCCAACACTAGGCAGATGTCACTTTAGTTTATATTCATATTTCCTCTTGCTTTTCACTCTCACTGACGTGTTTACTGCCACTGTTTATAGATCTAGAATTATGGGTTTACTCTCCTCCAGGTTTTGTCAGTCCTTGTCTCTGGGTTTGGGTTTGTGCACGTCTTTTATTTCATTTCAATCTGATCTTTAGAATCCATCAACCTACTTACTGGGATATGGCGAACTTCCTCACCATTCCGATTGCAGGAATGGAAGGTGCAGCTTCTTTTAGTCTGGCTCAGCAACAAAGAAGCTGTCTGACTCCCCTCTCTTTCTTATCCTGTTTCCATATCTCCAATTCTGTCTGCCTTTCCTTTGGTCTTTGTGCAGCAAGCTTTGCTTTCCTATTAGATCCAGACTGTGAGACCACAGAGGGATAAATGGAAACTTTAACAATGAGATGATTATAGCTGAACCAGAGTTAGAAGAATCCGATCCAGAGAGTTTTCTAATTGGATTATTGACTGAAATACTCCTGGCCTCTCAGTAAAATCCAGCCCTGTGTATATGTGTATATTAACTTGAATGTACCCACTGGTTTTATGCTCCAATCCAGCGGGTCTGTTGTAACAATATCTCTGGAGATATATATCTCTGTCTGCTCACTATTCACACTTCATGCCACAAAAACACTGTTCTCTGCCAGCAGAACAGGAACTGAAAATAGAATTTTAGATGTGATTTCCTTCAGCTCCACAGGGCCTCTGAGACTGGCAGAATTGATCGGTTTGTTACCTGTCAGAGACCCAAAGCCCATCTCCCTTGTGCTCTTGACTCACCGGATCAGAGTAGCATGCGCAGGAGGAGTCTGAGCTGGGAAACCAAAGTGAACTCTCTGACCTATATTCTATCTGCTTTAACTTCCTATACCATGTAAGGTGTTGAACATTAGCAGCAGGGCTGTAGCCTTCAGAACCCAGCGTGTAGTATTCATTGACACTATATTACTGGGATCACATAGCAAATAAGTGTGACTGACCGTTGAGTCCTTTTGTCTCACCTCCTAATCAGTTGTGGCTGTGTCTTTGGTCAGATTGGAAGACAATGCAACGGTTCCACCATGCTTTCAACACAAACACTAGAGCAGTATTTAGTTAGTCCAAGACTTTCCTGTCACAGAACGCAAGGTCTTAGCAACATTTGTTTTGCTGAAAGATAAACATAGAGATGGCTTTTTGAATTTAACACCCTGGGTGTAAAATAAACCTCACTGCCAGAGAAACCAGCGTTTTGATATGCTTCACCTAAAACAAAAAAATGCAGGCATAGCAACAGGGTCCTTCCTTAAATTAGTCCGCATTCATGCACCCATGCAAGGGTCTTTATTTATACCTTTGAACGTTTCCATGTGCTAATCTTATGACTAGGGTAGTCAGATCCGCAATGTATGGGGAAGTAATAAAAATAATTCTGACGGGTGAGGAAGACGACTCGTCTCAGTTTATCAACTCCTCAATCATATGGTGCTTTTGATCGCAGTGATTATGTACTTTTATCTCCTTATGGCAGCCCACAGTGTAAAGACCAGCCCAGCAGGGTGTCTTTACTCAGCCCATAATGTACGCACTCATCTGGAATCAGACCTTGGGTTCTGTAAAGGGATTATTATTGACTTTTCCTTATGTAGCATCATAATGTTAGCCATAGGCATCTGTGAGGAAATCCAGTCCAGACAGCGTGGTAATAACTAAAAACCTGCCTTTGATTAGCTTTGCAAGAGATTAATAATCCATGCTCACATGTCCGATGTAAAAAAAAAAAAAAAAAAAAAAAAAACAACTGCAACATATGGCGAGCTAAAGATGAATTATAAATTGGGCAGGCAGCTTATTGTGGGATTGTAGGTTTGGTCGCGTGCGTCCCCAATTTACCCTCCCCTAAAAGTAGCCTAAACCCACGCTTGGGGAGTTTAGATTAAAGGGCTTGGGTCACTCTGTTTTGGCTAGGGGTTCTACTGTGTGTTTGAAAGACGGGCCTCTTAGATTGGATTGATTGGAACCCCTCTGATATCCACAACTCACCAAGATTATAATGATGGGATTCCCTTGGTTTCTGATTGGGTTAATCCTGTCTCTTGTAATGACTTTCTAATCAAATACAATCTCCTGCTGATTGATGGTGTGACTTTTGGAGAGGAGGGTAGTGTTGGGAACAATATGGGAGTTATTCAACACATACTTTTATCTAGAGTGACTAACATCCGTTTTTATTGACAATCTATCTGTCATGTTAGGTGAACCTTGGTTATAAGATTACTGAGGCACCTTGTAGTGGTTAAAGTACCATGATTACTAGCTTACTAGCGTTTTCTTATTCAAAGACGATGTACTGTAAATAGATCTTGTGTAGAAGTTCTATATTAAATGCTGGCGCTCCAGTCTACGTGTGCAAAAGGGCACTCGTCTTACTATCACGTAAGACAAAGAACAACAGCAAATCCTCACAATTGAGAAGCTGAAACTAGGCAAAAGGTCTTGTGATATTCTTTAGTCCATTAGCACAATCAGGTGCTAATATGCACTTGTGTGTAATGAAGTTTGTCCATAGAAAGTCTACAGATGAGGTTTCTTGTGTTACTGATAAATGTAGCACTATTTCAAACTGTGGTTGCTTCTAAATAAAGCATATGGTGCCCCAGTGTGAGGGTATATCTGTTCATCATTGCTGTCTCCCAGTTTAGATCGTCATCGTTCCTGGAATGTGAGAGATTTTGTAGCCACCCTGCACGAGAAATGACGTCACGCGCTTCTATAACCCAGTAAACTAGTTTTTACACATTCACATATTCGCCTAAGTCCTGCAAGTAGGTCAGTTCAACTAATACAAACTTCCAGATTTTCCTTTTTCTAAAGGAATTACTGGGATTAATATGATACGCGGTCAAACAGAGAAAATCCTGCAGCAGCCAGTCACGTGCAGATGTAAGGGGGTAGCAAGTCAGAGGGAAAAGAGAATGCATTGCAGCTGCAAACAAGGTCAGATTCAGCGCCTCAGGTGATTTCAGATTACTGCCTGCACTCGAGCTGTGAGGCTAGATGAGAATCAGATCACTGGTGGTTACAGGATTGGAAATTAAATCTGTAATCAGAAGGATGATTATGTTGAGAAGGGAGAGAGTAGCCTAACCTACATTCTGCTGCAGTAAGATTTCTGTCTGTCTCGATGTTCATATTTTGCTTTTTACAGGCCATTATCAAATTAAGGCTAAAATTAAGGCAGCACCAATAATAGTGGAGCAGTCTTTTATATTGCACAGTCAAACTACATGACTGTTCTCAGCCTTTCAACGGAGAATATCCCCCTATAGAAGGTAGAAGCCTTAGCTTATATGTCTTCCATAGTTATTTAATCTTCATAAACTTCATCCCCCTCAGGCAATCCGTAAAAATCAAATAATATCTGCTGACCTTCCCGTACTCTACTATGATCCCCTAAGGTATTAAGAGCATTAGAATACAGGCTTCTCATGATCTCCCAGACACTAGTCCATTTGCTCTACTTTTCCTGTTTGGTTTTTCCATCTGTGGAGTCACTGCGGAGCACGTGCAGGGGAGGCCAGCGTCCTGCGGGTAGGGGAGGGAGAGATGGGGGAACAAGGGGGAAGACGGGATGATGCAGTCCAGATGGAGCCTAACTGATTATCTCTACGGGGCAACGGCAGTATTTTGGGAGGTTTTTGAGCCCCAGTCCTCAGCTAAACCACAGTGGAAGAGATTAGTTCCACTGTAAAATGGCTGAATCATAAAGCAAACTGTGACGATCCTGATATTTAAAATTATATTGCTAAATAGTATTAGCAACAAATCATCCCATATTTTCTAACACTATAGCTTCTAACCAAGAGCTCTTTTCCTCCTTTGACTGTATCTCCAGGCCTTTGGACAAGCCTACTCCAACCACAGGAAGGTGGCAGCGGATGGGGAGAGCCGCGAGGAGTCTCTTATCCAGGAGTCAGCCTGTAAGGAGGCCTACTATGAGCAGAGGGTCCTGGAGCTGCAGACTGAGCTCCGCCAGACACGCAACATCCTCACCAATACCCAGTCTGAGAATGAACGCCTGAACAGCATCACCCAAGAGATGAGAGAGGTAAGAGTGGCGGAAACACAACCAGAATTATAACAGAATCATACCTGGAAGGGGTTACACTTTAATCTATTCAATTCGGTCAGCTGGATATGTATCTTAGGATGCTACTATCACACGCTGCACATATGATGTTTGACTGGGTGAAGTCACTTCAAAGAGTATTACTGTTCATCTGAAGACACTGTATTCTGGTGGTCTTTTCCCTACGTCAATACTTTGAATGTGAACTCTCTTCTAAGTTGAAGCAGAGTTGTGTCTGCTCTCCTTTGAGAACAACAGTGTTTATTGATACTATCGTCTGATGCTATTTATCTGTCTGAAGCTGTAGAATGCGCATATTATATATATATATATATGCATATGTAGCAACAAATATTCATCACTGATCAATTTCAAACCCTGTGTTGTATAGCCCAGGAGGAAGCTGGGGGCATACAGCTTTTTACTTTTTATTGGGTGCAAAGAATAGAGTTCCAGAGTTGTCCTCCGGTCCAAAGTCTGTAGGGCAAGATGGAGTGCTGCAAAATCACTGCACCTACAACCAGTTGTAGGTGCAGACTCTGATACTTTCAGTATTGCTGTGCAAGTCATTATTACTTTGGGTGTGATTGCACAGTCAATGACTGGTGTGTTTTGGACTTGCTAAGACGAGACTAATGAGACTGTAATAACTGTAGGACAGAGACTAGGCTGGTTGAAGCCTGCCGTGATGTCCTCCACCCGTTCTCCTGCAGGGTGGAGTTATAATTACAGAAAGAAGAAAAACACTGAGGCCATGGGAAGCATGCTCTGTTACAAATATGGCATGATCCTACATGAATAATTAATAAATTAATATCTTAAATTTGTGTGAACCGTTGCATGACAATGGTGCCTAACCTGTTGCCCCAGCTGTGGCATTAGTGACATGCGTCATCATAGAAACTCACCTCAGACAAGACCAGACTTCTATCAACCGAAATCTGTTTTGCAGAAGCACGACTAAGCCATTTCTCTAAATCGGAGCATAACCTTTACACATTCCAGTGAACAATTTCATACCCTACTCTCTTAAGCTTCCCAAACTATCATAATATGAATCTTTATTGTCTGTGCCCTACTTTGGACAATGTCTGACCTCTTCACTGCTTCTATTTACATATACTCACGGCTAATTGACCTCATTCGAAGAGACAGTGCAGTGAGTGCAGAGCGTGGATTTTGTCTTTGCCCATGGCCATGCTTGTGTGATGTTGTGTGATGATCAGGAGATTGAATTAACGGGAGAGCGGTACAGGTTGAAATCACACTGACTGAGAGATGTAGGAAGCTTTGAGGATGCCTGTTTGACACAGAGACAGGGAGACATAAAGGGATAGAAAGCGATGACAGGAGGGCAGAGGAAGCCTCTCACTAGAATGATAAAGAGGGGGGTTTAAAATAGCAGCTTGTTTTAGGGTTTGCCTATATTAGGAGAGAAGGAACAGACTACTAATTAAGCTTGATTTATTTGACACTTAGCTCTAGCTCGGTACATCACATATTTTTCTGGTCTCTCCATTCTTCCCGTGCTGGTAGTTAAACCCATCTTGGAAATCTTTTCACAGCAGATTTAGCTGATCCACTGTTGTGCAGGTCAAGTTGTACCAGTGTAATTGTGACAGGGAGGGGTTAAAAAGGGGCTCCCTTCCTGAGTGAGTCTTTGGCAGACGGCTGCAAGTTACACTGCTTTTTTTCTGTGAGTCACTGCTTGAGACAGATGTTAGCAGCATTTCTTACTCAGATTAGTAAAGAGGACTTAAAAATGGCATGTCCCTCACAACAACTTAAGTTCCAGAAAGCTCCAAATTCCACTATAATTAGGTCAGCTGCTGCTCAGCTCTGCATCTGAGTTGGTATAAGTTGGGCATTATGGAAGCCAGATGTGTCTCCAGGCGTGTTTTTGAAACAGAACATGGGTTCCCCTGTATAAAACTTTACTCCCTGAGTCAACTTAAACATGATTACTTTCTACAAAGATATGCCTCATAAATCCTCCACCTAGGGTGGTTTACTTATGTATTTAACATAAAATTTGAGAGTAAAGGGAATACAGTGTTTGCTGAATATCTAATCTGCAGCTTTGGTGACACTGGTGTTGCACTGGTGGCCTGCATGATGGCCTTTCTGCAGGTGCCATTCCTATTATATTCCTATTCCTGGCGCCATGGGCCCCAGCCAGCTCTAATTGGCTAGATAAAAGGGGCTGGAGTGTAAATTGCCCCATGTATGGGAGATAATGACACCCTTCTAATGGTACTTCTGTGGGTACTAAGAGGAGTGTGTGTGGCAGGCAAATGGAGGGAGCCTGGGCACTGAGGCTGGCATTGTGACCAGACTGACAAGACTGAAAGAGGCCTTTGTCTCCTGGGTTTCAAATTAGCCCAATAGCTTAGTCAGGGCGAGAGCGTGGGGGGGGGGGTTCTGGGACGGCTAGTCCTATTGAGTCAGGAGGATGATTGAATAACTTAATTTTGTCATGGAATGCAACTGACAGTTGAAACTGTTGCCTACAAGTTTCCTCTGTAAAGTTAAGATGTATTTGGGATGTTAGCTTTCGTGGCATCAGTACAGTTGAAAGAAGGCTTGAGAAAAGGCTTACAAAATGTAATTTGACTATGTGTGGTTCACAAATCAGTCACTAGACAACGTCATCATTCTAACATTCAACAGATCTGGAAGCTTCACTCAGTGTAAAATGGCTTTTGTTTCTGCACAGGCCAGTCCATTCACAACCATTTAGTTACAGCATTTCATCCAGATACTTCCATCACATTTAAACCTCCCAGGCAGTCTCTCATGCCAAAGACTCGAATGTTCCCCCCAAGCACCGATAAGACCTATTTCACTGCTACAGTGCAGACTACAGGATTAAACCTCCACAAAGAGCCAGTAACATTGTAAGGAGGCGCGCTCTAATAGGCATGACTTCATTAAATTCAATCTCATGTCTTGAGAGGAATGTGCCTAGTGATGGCTGCCATTATCCTTACAGAATGGGAAAATTAGCAAGCAGAGCCTAAGATAAAAACGCTGAGAAATCTTTCTTAGTGCATTTCAGTCTGCTCTCTATTCACACTCACAAAAAATCTAATGTGAGTCCACCTCAGCATCCCCACACGATTGCTTGCTGTACTTCTTTTTTCTACATTTGCATCACTTTGGATGCTGTATTGACGCAGTAACTGTTGTCTCCCCTCCATTTAGGAACAACTGTCCTCCTGAAATAATTCATTTGCTCTTACCATTTTTCCCTCACAGACACACAAAATTATGGTTTTGTGGGTATGTTTAACATGTGAACGTAGAACCCATTCTAATGTTAAACATGATTGGTTTTCATCAACACAGTGGATGGAGCTGTCAGACATTAAACTGCCACCTTTAATTTGTTTCAATTGGCTGGATTAAACACCTGTCAGAGAAGTGGGGGATTGAGAGAGGGAGGTATCTGCCTTGATGGGATGAGTTTAAAAGGACGTGCGAGGGCAGAAGTTTAAGCTCACTGCGAGGAAGGCCTTTGTTGTTGCAATTAGAAGAAATTGGGTAGGTTTTGAGTGGCAGAATAGTGGAGCAGATGGACACGAGAGCAGAATTCCAGTTGTCACCTTGATTATTGAAAGGTCAAAATTGACTGGTGGAGAGATCCAAGGAGGTATGCTCTTTGTTCCCTGTTATTATTGTCTGACGTGAGGCTAATGTAAGAAGACTCTGGGGTGTGGATGTTGACTGCCTCATGCCTCTTCAGTTTCCATATTTGCACCAGCCATTGCTACTACTGCTGTCATGGGTGACATATAACCTACTCTAAAGCCTCCAGATGTTATCTGGCCACAGCACCCAACCTCGCCTAATCTCGCTCCCACATCGGCTAACTGCGCCATGCGCCGAATGTCTCACAAATTGATTGGTATTTTTAGCCCCTAAGAGGAGTGCGTCTCTAAAATACTTTTAGAAGATTTGCCATTGATCCTTAATAATGTTTGTGTTATGGTATCAGCTTTAAAGAAGCACTGAAAGTGTGTCATTCTTGATTTAAGCCCCTGGCTCACAGCACCAAAGAGGTTTTCCATGCCGGATCAATGGATCCTAATAAATCAACAGCGCACATACAAACAGGCCTACACATTCACTTAGACTAATGGGTGCAAACATGCTCACGTGTACATTTCTCCCCTCTCATCCAAATGACCTCAAAATCAGTTATTCACTGTTAAGTGCCTGCAGAGACACTTTCACCCTGTGGGCTTCTCAACAGTCACACACTGGGCAATGTACTGTCAGCCACGCACTCACAAAGTTCCTTTCTCTATTTACTTTTTAATTGTCTCATTGAAAAGTGCGACCTCGACTGTGTTTTCTCTCTATAATGGAGTCTGGGCTGAATAGAATGACAACTGCTTGCAGCAAAGAGGACGATAAAAGCAGATCTTCTTTCACCCACATTCTCGACTCTGACAGTAGCAATAGGCCCCTGAGCTTCATTATTCCTTTGCTCTGTCTAAAGCAATACTGGGGGGTTGAGCTGTACTGCGTCTGTGATTCATTTATCATATCTCCGGAAGGTAATCCTGGCATGGGCTCAGCTTGGCAGAGTCAGATTTAACTCGGACTGACGTGACCTTGACGTGCTGCAGAGCCTACAGGACGGATAAAGTTTTTTTCAAAAGTGCTTTCTGGAGCACAATATCACTAGAGATCTACAAGCAGAAGTGAACATGGCTGTCCCGGTTCACGTCTGATAGATAGATATGATGGATAACTAAAGCTCAGAATGTGGAAGGAATTCAGCTGTAACTGATGCATGTCCTTTAAAAGCACACTGACACACTCAGAGGAGAGAGGGGAGGTGGGGGTTGGGAAAAATGAGAGCAGTGATGTTGGTGAAATGGATGTCTGTGGTGTTAGAAAGAGGGGAAAAAAGCCGTATTGACCTGCACGTGGTGCCATACCATCTGGGAATCCCTCTGCACTTTGTAGGAATAGTCAAAAATCTTTACTGAAGTGCAAAGTCAGCAGGATGGAGAGTGAAATGGAGGTCAGTGAACTGAGAATGCAAGACAGAAAGGCAGAAAGACAATGAAATATATATATTTATATTGAGCCTGTCTGTGCTGTTATATGAATAATACAGTCTTGTGCCATCTGGGAGGCTAGGCAGCACTTTCAAGGAAACCAAACCTGGGCTGCAGCTAACGATGATTTTAGTATTCGAAGCTTCTATAGCTTATTTCAACGATTCATCGATGCATCGTTTAAGAAGTACTTTTGCTTGGCGGGGGGCTGGAGGTGAGTTAAAAGGTGCAGCTCCCCGACACCCTGTTAACTCCTGACTGTGAGGTTACAATTCACGGCCCAAAAAGGAGAACAACAAACACGTGTGCACATTTTCAGCTGAGGACTGCAGCTTACTTTGGCTTCAGCTCAATAATCAATCAATGATTTCAGTTAAATCCTAAAGTTGCTGTTACTGTTACCTTGTCTGTGGTCCGCTGGCAGAACACCGGCTGCTTTCTGATCAGCTGCCGTTGTGCTGTTGCCGAGGCGACATAAGTTTCGTTTCACGGTGGACGGGCGGTAACATTACAGAGTTGTTTTCTTTAGTTTGAAATAATCCCATATTTTCTTCTCCACACTTTCTTCTTTGTCCCTCGCTATTTTCTCTCTCTTCCTCCACTTTGCAAACAGCTCCAATATAATCACGTCATGTTCACAGCGTAAGCACGATGTGCGACAGTAATAAATGTCCGTGCGAAACACTGTCCTGTACAGTTGTATGGATTAAACGAAGCATCAATGCAAAGAATTTGTGTCGAAGCATTTTATGAATCGATTTTATCGATTGAATCGTTTCAGACCTAAACAAAATCAGTGGGTAAGAAGCTAGTAAATATGGATTTTGCAGAAATGCAAGCTGGCTAATCTAGAGTTATTAAGAGCAGAGAGCAGGGTCTTTAACAAAGCATTAAAACATTCCTAATCTACAGTTTTGTCAAGCCTGAAACTTTGCCACCGTGGCTTGCTGTGTGATGGAGCTATTTCCCATAGAAGTAGAGGTTATAGCGGCTCAAACACATTGAGCAATTACTCAGAGCTTTAGTGAGATTTAAGCAGGCTCAGCTCCACTGTGCTGTCAAAAGCAGTTTAATGGTGAAGAAGAAAGCTTCAGAGTTGAAAGTAAAAGAGTCAATACAGTGCAGCACGATGAACCAGAGACGGTTCATTAGAGCAAAACTATTGCTTTATCATGCATATACACACGCATGCCCTGGTCCTCACTATGTTTTTTAAACATCATGCCTATCCTGTAGGTTTATGGTATGGCTGTGCACCTTTGTGTTTTTATTGCCACCCACATTGCAAGGAAGTGATACATTTGTCTGTATGTGTGTGGGGTGTGGGCGTATTCACGCAGCTGTCCAGACGTCACCTGTAGTGACAGCAGGCAGGGGGTGATCACTTACCACACATAAGCCTGTGGTAAATGAAGGCTTCGCCCTGACAAGCTTCCTATTGGTGGCGCCGTCAAGATATCACACCCCGGGCTCTCACCAGAAACCCCCCCCCAAAACACACAAAGACAGATTGTCAAAATCTAAATGTGTGACAAATATTCCCAGGAGAGACGTGTGCTCCTTGTATGATTACATGTTATTCACACAGGGATGGGAATAGTCACTGCAAACCTTGACTTTTACTCAAATCAAATTCTGTCAGGCAGCAGGGTAATGTAAACCCCCCACATTGGGGCTCAGGGTAGCAGAGGATGTGGAAGCAAGTTGAAAGGTCAAGGGCCTTGTATGCATTGTAATCAGATTGAAGGAGGACCTTAATCAGATTCAGTGGTGTTCTGTATTCATCGGGACCAAACAGCAACGACCCTCCAGCTGAGGTGCAATACCCTGTCCTGGAAAAGATCTGAACATCCAGCTGGCGCAGCTTTGTTAAAAACAAGAGATTACTGCAGCGATGGGATGATTTTGATGAAGGTCTTTATGAAATAATTGTCTACATGTTATGCTACAAGAGAATCTACAAATGGGTTGACTGATTACAGCTCTTTTTTTTTTTTTTTTTTTTTTTTTTTTTTTGCTTTAATTCAGTTTCTCTTCAGTCAGGACCTCTGGATGGAGGCTTAGTGGTAGGACCGATCTGTATTGTAAGCTTATGCATTAATGCAGTAATGCACCAACATCAGGGCTTTTGCACAGCAAACACCCACGCTCATTAGACATGCGCAAAACTCCGATGAATATTAATGCACCTTCAAACGTCAGCCTCAGCTCAGCTCTGCACATAGTGATTAATTATTACACAGAGCAAACGAGGAGCATGTACACATCAGTGGAGATTTAACATCATTTTTGTCAGTGAATGCTTCTCCAAATAAGCAAATAAATTCAAATTACAATGAGTGACAAAAACAAAAGTTTTTTGTTGCGTGATAGTCCCTTCAGTCACATTAGATATTTTATATAGTGTGGGACTGGGGAATTGCTTTTTAATCGGGTCTGAGCACTCCACTGTCAAACCAATGATTTTCTAGTTACTAAAAGGTGTTGCTAACTAACTGTCACCACCCATCTTATTACCCACTCTTATTTCATGCACTATGTTACTGCTGTGGATTCAGTCGCAAGGCTGTGGTGATATAGGACTGACTTCCTGTAGTCGTTGAAGTGATCCAAGAGCAGGGATTGTGACGTGACCACATGGTGACAGTGTGAGAGGAAGGGGCCACCTGGAAAGGTATTGGGAGGCTAATTGTCTCTCTTGGTATTAGGTTATCTCTGCCAACTCTCCTGAGAGAAAGACATGCATCAGACACACACACACATGCAAATCCTAACCATGACACCAGACACTGACTGCTATTCTTCTCTTACTATCTCACACACGTAAATATACACGTTCAGCACCTGCTCAGGAGGTAACAACACTAGTGCGCGCTCTCTCTCTCTCTCTCTCTCTCTCTCTCTCTCTCTCTCTCTCTCTCTCTCTCTCTCTCTCTCTCTCTCCTCTCTCTCTCTCTCTCTCTCTCTCTCTCTCTCTCCTCTCTCTCTCTCTCTCTCTCTCTCTCTCTCTCTCTCTCTCTCTCTCTCTCTCTCTCTCTCTCTCTCTCTCTCTCTCTCTCTCTCTGTGTGTGTGTGTGGATTGAAGTTTTACCATCAAATTCATCTCTGGCTTTCACATGAACGTTCAAGCAGCCCCCCACCCCTCACATTACATACACGTATGTGCATGTTCGTTTATTTAGTTCAAAGACGTTCAGTAAGTATCCCCTTACTTCAGAGCTTTAATCTGTTATTTCTCTAAGAGCTGCCAGCTAAGGTGTCCCCTACCCAGATGTCCTGTGGGGATCTTGTGTTTTGGGATGGGCCAGTCAGCAAGGGAAGGAGGACAGTGCAAATTTTGAAAGGAGAGGATGGAGGGTTAAACAGGTAGGGAGGTAGGGAGACAGGTGGCAGTAGGGATCCTTCTGGCTTTCAGTTTGTGTCAGTGTCTTCAAGTGGGGGAAGGGCATGTATCTTACCTCTCTAACCTTTGTATAATTATTGATGCCTTTCCTGAGCAGCAGGAGAGAGCCAGCTCTACAGATAATTGCAAACACTAGTACTAACTTGTAACAACTGACACTTTTTACACAGCAACTGATTTTTACAGTGCTGATGAGTTATTAATATCCAGAGAACCAAGCCTAATAACTCTTTTAGAAAATTTGTCACCATGAGAGAGATAAGTAGGCCAGTCTCTTGACTCTTGGTGCCATCAGAGCTGGCAGGCGGGCACACTTGTGGCCCACTGCCCGGAGGGACACCTGGCACCTTCTTCTCAAACACCGTGAGGCACACACCAAGCACACACACACGATGTGTTTGGCCAGATGGGAGCCCGGTCTTATCTAGCAAGATTTAGAGTGTTAACGAGCCAGTGTGACACAAAACGTTACACTAAAGCCACAACATCCAATCAGTGTCCCTCCCACAGTCAAACAAGATTGAAATAGTGGTCATTGACAGCTCTTCCTCCTTTCTCTCTGTCTATACCTTGTTTGGCCCTTTCAGAACAGCCAGATGGTGGAGCTCCAGAGGAATCAGCTGCGTGATGACATCAAGGAGTACAAGTTCCTCGAGGCTCGTCTGCTGCAGGACTACACTGAGCTGGAGGAGGAGAACATCTCGCTGCAGAAGCAGGTCTCCATGCTCAAGCAGAGCCAGGTGAGGATGGAGCCATACTAAGCTCTACATGTGCAAAGTTTGAATCAGTGAGAGTAGTGGGGTTGCAGCTTAAAAATAAGAAGAGAATAAGAGTATAAATAAAGGGGAGAACATTCCCTTCATGGTAAATTGCTTTGGCTGGGTATCATCATGCAGTCTTGTTAGTTAGGCTTAATTAAACTGGTAGTTTCAGGCACCAGTACTATACCACCTCTCGCAAATCAGCTTTCAGTCTCTTTTTTTGCATTGATTACACTCCCAAAAAGCACAGGCACTTTTAATATTCAGATTTAATTAAGATAATAAAAGCACCCCCTGATACAGCAAAGAGATAAGCAGCTGCCTTTGTTTTTTCAAATGCCTAGAGCTGCTCTCTGGTTATACAAGTGTTTAACAGCTTTGCTTCATCACATCAGATATCGTAACAAAGACAAACTACAGCAAAGACTGCTGCATCTAGTTCTATTTATTTCTCTGTGAGTGCGGAACTCATTAAAGGTGTTCCCTCTGCTTCCTTGCCCAGGTGGAGTTTGAGGGTTTGAAGCATGAGATCCGTCGTCTAGAGGAGGATACTCAGTTCCTTAACAGCCAGCTGGAGGATGCCATCCGACTGAAAGAGATCGCTGAGCGTCAGCTAGGTGAGGCCCTAGAGACCATCAAGACTGAGCGTGAGCTGAAAGCTTCCCTGAGGAAAGAGCTCTCCCACTACATGAGCATTGGGGACACTCTGTATCACAGGTAAAAAGAACACAAACCAGGTACTCACAGGCCACACCATATACTGGAAAGAATGCTAACTCACACGCTGTTCCCACCTTTTGTCCCTCAGCCCTCTTAGCATTTCTCTGGATGGTCTCAAGTTCAGTGACGATGCCGAACCTAACAACGACGAGGCTCTCCAAGGATACGAAAATGGCTTCACCAAACTGGCCAACGCCATCACCTACGACAACTGCATCTCCACGCCGAAGAAGGAAGAGCTGTTCCACCCTGCACCCAGCCTTGTGGATGACCTGCTGAGCGAACTTAACATCTCAGAGATCCAGAAGCTCAAACAGCAGCTAATGCAGGTTTGTTCTTTACCACCTCGGGAGGCGAAAAACATAGTTTGTCCATTATTAGTAAAAGAAAAGCCCAGTTTTAGTGAATAATAACACTATAGTTTTATTCATTGAGGAGAGTCCATAGCAGGCTCCTTTAGATTTTCCTTGATATATTGGTGAGATGTCTTCGTCTTTAATATGATTTATCAAACCTTGAAAATACTGTGTTGTCATCCAAACAAACTTGATTGGCAGTACTTACCACAAAATAACTCAAGACAGCAGGACTATGTATTTGAGTAGGTTGGAGGTGTGTCTGATCCTGACCCAGGAGGCTGCAGGGATCTAAATCCCATTCTAGCAGAGTTAATCCAGGGAGACGCACACACCCTTCAGGCTCCGCTGGGCTGCGAGGCAGCGGGTGGTGGCACCAGTGAACCTGCCATCTGCTTGCTCATCACCCCATGAGTCCAGGGCCAAGCCTGATTGGGCACCATGGTTACCAGAACGGACTGGGAAACTGTGGATAATGATTGTTTTGAAGTCTATGGGATTAAGGATTTTTTTTTCATCAATCATAAACACAGTTGCTAGATTAATGTGTGAACTACAAGTTACCTCAATACCGCCCTGCTATGGGCACTGTTCTGGTTCTCAACCTGCCCATTGTGGGAAATGTGGCGGTCTGTGACAAAGCGCTGTGTTTGATACAACACAGCGGTACGTCGTCCTGCCTGCTGAAGCATCCTGCCAGGTCATTCCACAGATTCCAGGCAGGAATCGGAGAAGAGGAAACAAAAAGGACCCTCTAGGGATTTATGTCCACTTTTGCTCTCCTACCGTATCTCATTCTATTGATTAAGTATTCAATGATCAATCCCAGACATCCGCTCCTCGGTTATCACCCTATTAGTCTCTGGCAATTTATAGCAACATCCAATATGGATTCTGCAGGAGTATGATTGGCAGTGTTTGTGTTAGCTGCCTACAACCCCCCTTCCAAATTTAAGTAATGTTGTATGTGTAATACAAGTAATGTGGTATGTAAATATATGAGAGCATCAGTGTGAGCATTGACTTACTTAAATTATGCAGTTTTTTTTATCTGATAGTTTCATGCTTTCATTCTTTGTATTTTGATATGTGATATAGAGGAATGTTAAGTAGACTGTTACTCAACATGGCAAGCCACCTTCAAAATTTCCATCTCTTTTTAAAGTTATACATTCTACACTAATAAAAATTGTAAGCAGGTGAGCATGACCGTGATACTTGTATTATTTACAGATCAGCTTCTGAAATAGCTCAGTGCTTATATCAGCACAACTGTGTGCATGTGTGTAAGACAACCCGCCCAGCGCTGAGCTGAACCCAATCCAGTAAATTGTCAAGGTCATCCTGACTCTGATGCCGAGCTACTGGGCAATGAGCCTCGCATACCTTGGTAACACAAGCCTGATAGTGGGCAGGGGTTCCACATGACAGATAATCCACTTATTTAAGATGATCCCTTTTCAAAGCAGGAATCGGTCACATCACCAAGTTACCAAGAAATGAAAATGTGATTACAGACATATAGTATGATGACCTCACGTCGCATTGCTCTTTATGCCTCTCTACTCAGATGGAGCGTGAGAAGGTCAACTTGCTGTCCACCCTGCAGGACTCCCAGAAACAGCTGGAGCAGGCTAACGGTGCTCTGTCAGATCATCAGGAGAAAGTCAACCGCCTCACTGAGAACCTTAACGCCATCCGCAAGCTCCAGGCCAGCAAGGAGCGCCAGTCTGCCTTGGACAATGAGAAAGAACGCGATAGCCATGAAGACGGAGACTACTACGAGGTGGACATCAATGGACCTGAGATTCTGGAGTGCAAGTACAAGGTAATTTGTAATACAAGGTAATCTTGTAATTAAGGGTGGACAGGACAAAAAGAGAACCTGTCTTACAATACATATTGTCATCATTTATACTCAGCTTTTCTATATTCTCAATTATTGATCTTGCCTTGCTAGGTTGCTGTGTCTGAGGCGGGAGAGCTGAAGGAGGAACTGAAGACTCTGAAGACCGAATACCAGGCCTGTCAGTCACGTTACGAAGAGGAGCGCAGCCGTCTGGAGAACGATGTCAGAACACTGGGAGACAAGCTGGCAACTCTGGAGAAGACAAGTCATTCAGATAGAGAAGAGAAGGCTAAGCTAGAAAAGGAGCTACGCAAAGTGAGATGTTGCTCTTTATATTAACATTCTGATAAATGGTTGATATGGTGGTGATATGGTTTTAATACATTTTACTAACTGACGCATTTCTCTCTGTGTCCTCAGTTAAGCGACGTGGCAGGCGAGTCCCAGGGCAGTCTGAGTGTGGCACAGGACGAGCTGGTCACCTTCAGTGAAGAACTGGCCACCCTCTACAACCACGTCTGCATGTGCAACAACGAGACCCCCAACCGCGTCATGCTTGACTTCTACAAGGAGGGCAAGGGCGGTCGGAGTAGCCCAGAGGGCCGTGGCCGGCGCTCTCCCATTTTGCTCACCAAGGGCCTCTTCCCGGAGCCTGGTAAGAACGACCTAAGCGACGGAGCACCTTCACCAGTCTCTTCACTGCCTTCTCCTGTGTCTGACCACCGCCGCGAGCCCATGAACATCTACAATCTGGTGGCCATCATCAGGGACCAGATCAAGCACCTGCAGCTGGCTGTGGACCGCACCACAGAGCTGTCGCGCCAGAGGGTGGCCTCCCTGGAGCTAGGCACTGTGGCCGACAAGGACAAGGAAGCCTGCATGCAGGAGATCCTCAAACTGAAATCCCTGCTCAGCACCAAGAGGGAACAGATTGCAACCCTGAGGACTGTCCTAAAGGCCAACAAGCAGGTTGGTTAATTTGTTTTTGTCTTTTATATGCTTAGAATGTCTGTTTAACTAACTGGGTGCCACTCCCAAACATTTGTCAGTTTTCCTTGAAAGACAGAATCAGAAGAAGAGGGTGTCAGCTATTTCAGGTCAATTCAGCTGTTGCAACAAATGCGTTGCAGAAAAGATCTATAACAAACACTGGTGGAGTCAGCTGTCCAGAGTATCTGTGTGGTTGGGATGAGAGAACAGCCCTTTAAAGCACAAAGAACCGTGACACAGAGATGCAGTGTGTAAGCAGTTGCTCTGGTAGCCCTTTAAAGTGTGTGTGTGCGTGTGTGTGCGTGTGTGTGCGTGTGTGTGCGTGTGTGTGCGTGCGTGTGTGTGCGTGTGTGTGCGTGCGTGCGTGTGCGTGCGTGTGCGTGCGTGTGCGTGCGTGTGCGTGCGTGTGCGTGCGTGTGCGTGCGTGTGCGTGTGTGTGCGTGTGTGTGCGTGCGTGTGCGTGCGTGTGCGTGTGTGTGTGCGTGCGTGTGCGTGCGTGTGTGTGCGTGTGTGTGCGTGTGTGTGCGTGTGTGTGTGGTTACTCAGTGACCATTGGAACACAGACATGAAAGCCCCTCATAAACCACACAACTATGGTTTTTAAACCAGCAACTAACAATAGCAACTACAGGCTACTGGGCCTCAATGACTTGGGGTAAAAAAAATAGGTCATATTGTCCACATTAACAGACTTGCAACAGGAAATACACCCCCGGCGCCTTCCAGCTGCTCTGACCCTTTTGTTCTTCTCGTTCCACCCACAGACAGCTGAAGTTGCTCTGGCCAATCTGAAGAGCAAGTACGAGAACGAAAAGGCCATGGTGACCGAGACCATGATGAAACTGAGGAATGAGCTCAAAGCCCTAAAGGAAGACGCCGCCACCTTCTCCTCTCTCCGGGCCATGTTCGCCACACGGTGAGAAACATGCCACCTTCTGCCCAGTGGACATCACTGAAAAATATGTGTCACTCATCCCGCCTTCCAAGACTTATATCAAGCACAAAAGCATTTATCTGACATACCGTAACCTCACAAAACGTAGCCCACTTTCTATTTCCAGAGGTAATTGTCACATCAGCTGTCTTGTTTACCCATTTGGTATGGCATGATTTGCAAACAGTGCCAGCATGTGGTGCTGCTGTAGATTAGCTTGAAGAGTCAGCAGTAACACATCAGATGTGTGCTATTCTTAAAGCTACTGCTACTACTCTGTGCACCATATACAATATAATCAGGTAAGCTAAATATAAGGTTATCATCATAATCCGTGTTCACAACATGTTGGCTATGTCTCTGTGGTATTATTGTAATGTGACATATTTAAGGTGGATATTGGTTGTTTTTTTTTTTGAGAATCACGGTCAGGAAGGGATACTAGCATTGATCCGGACTATAGAGCACAGAAGGTATTTAATCTGGGTATCATTTAAATATGTCACTTAAGTAGTGTTTTCATCAGTGACTTAGTGTGTGTGTGTGTGTGTGTGTGTGTGTGTGTGTGTGTGTGTGTGTGTGCCTATGTGTGTATCAGAGGGGCCGACACACTCACTAATCCTTTCTGATTCCAAAAAGAAGCCGGTCAAAGGTTTTGCGCATAATCCCACCTCATCTTGGTCTGGATTACACATTCACCCCTCAGCACATAGTAGACTAAGTGCACACATGCTGCTTGTTTGTATATTTATTTGTGTGCATGTTGAGAAAGGTAAGAAAATGAGTGCTCGTGCACTTGTATGGGCACTTGTACGTCTTTTTAGACTTGATCCAAGTGATTCCACAGTGAATGCACAACTCACCTTTTGAGTTGCTTCTCCTCTTTTTCTTTAAGATGTTGATGCGCACTTGTACCGTAAATATAAGCTCTGGTCCAGATGGCTGCGCTGACATGCAGAGACAGTCTTTCCTTCTGCACTTAAGACTCCTCCGCAATCCACAGCAAAGCTCAAGCTGTGCAGAGGGAGGACAGGTAGAAGTGGAGGGTGGGGGACAGACAGTATAATAGAACGAAGGTGATAGAGGCTGCAGGGAATGTGTGGGCAGCTCAGCCCCCCCCCCCCCCCCCCCCCCTTACCCATGCAGTAATTCAATATCCCTCAAGTGTGCTTGCTGAAGTAACTCCATATACCTGCAGTGTCTAATCAATTAGTAACAGGAAGAGAACTCCACCGTCTACAAATGTAAGAGTGTGTGTTGTCATGGGTTTTGGCGCACTGCAGAGCCAGACGGTTAGAGGATGTAGGTGAGGCTAAATTATTTTGACCAAAGGCAACCAGGGCCAAGAGTGAACCAGATCTTGACTTTTCTTTTTACTCCCTAAGGGCCCATAATTGTTACAGCAGTGCAGGGATAGTGTGAGATCATATTTGCTGTGAAGAAGCAGAGCCATTGGGAAGTGTCTGTGTCTTTAAGCCTCTTTTGCTGGAGAGGAATAATATATTATATATAATAATATAACACATTACAACTTGCTGTTTACCGCCCGCATCAACGCTTGTGTTTTCCTCCTTGTGCACAAAGCACCTCCCCCGAGGATGATAATCTTGAGGCTCCAGTCCCACTAGTCTGTCACTGTTCTGGTGCCTATGCATGAATTACATTCTGTCTGATTATAGGACTCATGTATTGGTATGTAAATCCTGTCCTATATGGTGCAGAGTAGGGTCAGGGGACTCTTTGAGAGGCTGGGGGACTTGCCTGAGCAAGGTTTCCCACACTCCCCCCCCCCCCCCTTTTGTATCCCTGCCCCCCCCTTCCGTCCTTTCTCACTGCCAAACACGTGGTTCTCTGGTCAGGAAAAGAAAGAGAGGAAGAGGGCAGGCATTCAGTTAAAGCCCACTACAGGAGCCAAATTTGACACTCACACTTTTTTTTTTTTTTCTCCACCATAATCACCACTCTGACAGAGTCTGTAAAGGTGGATTTCTGAGATGTGGAAAACTCTCCGATACAAATGTGTGGTCTTTAACAAAGGGGAAGAAAGATGGAGTGGAGTGGGTGGAATGTGTAGGTTTTTGTGGAGCCTTTGTGCGATCTCATGTTGCGGTCTGTATGTGTCTCATAGTTCAGAATTACTTGAGATTACTGAAGTGCATTTCGTTCTCTCAGAATTTAGTTCTGAGACACACACATGGTTGAATGTTTTCCAAGTGTCTGTACGTGCCTCTCCCTCTGTTTCTGTGTGTGCCTCTTCAGCTGCAGCCTCTCTGGTGTCATGTTAACAGTAAGCTGCTGCCTCCAACATTCCTAAGACATGCCTCAACATGCTCTCAGCTCCTGCTCATATCAGCAGTCAAACCATTAGCCCAAGTCACATTTTCTCCTTCAATTTACAACCTCAATTATCCTGCTGTTCTGTTGTTACTTGTATATCCTCTCCATCATTCCTCCTTTCATTCTGTTCTTGCCCCCTCCTCCTTGCTCTCTCTATGATATCCACCATGACCAATCAAGCTCCAGACAAGACACCAGCTGAGGAAGCTGTGTGTCTTTTTGTGCTTTGAAGCATTCAACCATTTCTCCATGAATGCTGCAATAGTTGAGGTTTCCTTATGCAACCATAAATGCCCCTTGCTTACTGTTAATCACAACAAAATGCAGATAAAGTGTTTCTGTGTCAATTATGTGAATATAACTGTTCATCCTCAAAGGGCCAGCAGCCGCCTCCCGGCCCCCCTCAGCTATTGTGTCACCACATCCCATCAGCATGCCAAAAAGGACCTTATTGTATCCCCCCAGTCCCTAGAATAGACTCCTCTGTTTTTTTTTCCCGGGAAAAAGGCACTCCCTCTCACCCCCCATGCAAAAGTGGCTGAACCATCTGAAGGCGCACCAGCCCCTCCCGGGTCGTACCCCGATCTCATACTAGGTTTAATGAAGCAGCATTGATCCCTGTTGTCTGGGTGTGTGTCCCACTGGGAATCAAACTGCATACAAAAAAGGGGAGGGCATGGTTTATGTTTGTATGGTGGTCTGGCAAGGCCAGGGTTCACATGGCACACAACCACGTGCAGCACGCACCACACACAGCAAAAACATCTGCGGTTACTGGTATTCTTTGGTCTGCAATTTTGCCTTCAAGACTTCTTTTTCTTAAAACAAGAACATTATTTGCAGCTTTTAGTTTAGGCCATTCATCTTGTTCCCAGTGCAGCTTCTAAAAATAAGGCTCCATATCTTGTAACTACTGGGAAAATGACAGTTGGCGCTTGCAGACATTGACATGCAACAGATGAATTACTTATTACATAAGTAGGATTTCTGCGTTATTGTGGTCTAAAAGAGTTGGGGAGTTCCCAAATAAAGTAAATGCTTTAATACCAGCCAGAGAAAAGGGAGAAGGGTGAGGCTACCTACCAGTTTAATTATGTCAGTTTATTTTTTTGTGTGGCATTGCCGGAGGATAAGGCGGTCCTTACCGACTTAACCGACTCCGCCATTCAAAGAGGGTTGTCAGTCATTACTGGACAATGTCACTCAGATTGCAGTGTCAGCTAAAACAGAAAATAGGGACGATCAGAATGGGGAGAGAGAAAGCGATGCGGGCAGACAGCTAGTGACAGCAGCACGGAAGCGACGGAGGAAAGAAAATGCTTGAGGGGCAAGATCAGAGAGGATGTGATAGAAAGAGAGATGAATGAGAGAGCAAGGTAATGAAAAGGGGAAAAGGTTTGGCGAAGGAGAAAAGCATGAAAATTAAAGGGCAGCACAACGACAGCAGATGGCGATATGAACCCCCCACCTCAAAATCCCTTTGGGTAACCCAGTTTTTATACCTGTCTAGCCTTTGACCCACACACACACACGTACACGCATGCAAGGGTACAGGGAGACAGGTGATAATGCCGCACTGCAGCACCCAGTAATATGGAGAGGCAGGTAAACAGTCGTCATATCGTGCCATTTTGCACAGAGACGAAAGAGATGAATAGAGATAATGCAGACTCCCTTCAACTGGAAAAGTGGAGATTAGGTGTAAATAGCTACAGCTCGGAGCAATGAACTGGATTCTTCCGTCTTCATTTTTCTCCCCTGACTCCCCTCAGTCGGTTCCTCAAGTGACGCAGAAAGGATCTTCTCAGTGACCCTTAGGTTAATGCTATCATCCTGTGTGTGTGTGTGTGTGTGTGATCTATTCTTAACTTCTACCGCACATACTCCTCATATAATGTGCAGAAGCTGTAAGCTCTCTAACCTGCTCGTGAATGGCAATCATAGCATGTAGCAGCAGCCGTATAGCCCCAAAAAACATACATTTAAGTAATTATTCGGGGAGGGCAGGATGATGTTGCAGTATTCAGTTACGACATGCCATACCAAGTCAAGGCAGCTGTGGACAGTCGCTGTATCTTGTAAAATATTAGCTCAAAATACTCAAAATGAGTGTGCTGCAAGTGTTTGTGAAGTTTGGTGTAGGGGACAGAAATAGCTGATGAAATCATAAGTTAGTCATGCAGGACCCCAGCTCGTCTGATCAGGGCTGTGCCGGATGGATCAATGGCTCCACCTGGTGTTGGCAAAAAAAAACACACTCTGTAATCGGTGATTGAGGGGCATGATGAAAGTGCTTCAGTTTCAGTTGTTGTAGTCTTTGATCACCGTTGGTGTCTGTATCTCAAACATGCAAAACAGGTATGCATATCATGTATGCAGTTTTGCAATAGCTTTTAATGCAAACATAACAAGAAGCCAACTAATTCTTTCCTCCATTAAGGTATATACTATTTGGTATTATTGCAACTTAAAGTGCCCCCTTGTGGTGTGACACATGAAACCAATAATGGTGTAAAAATATCTTGCTTATAACTCATCAACTCCTGTTTGGGGTGAACAAATATGTACGTGACTTTACGGTTTTTTCTCTCTCTCTCTCTGTCACCCTTGCAGTTGTGACGAGTATGTCACTCAGCTGGATGAGATGCAGAGGCAGCTGGCTGCAGCAGAGGATGAGAAGAAGACCCTCAACTCCCTGCTGCGGATGGCCATCCAGCAGAAACTGGCCCTGACTCAGCGTCTGGAAGACCTGGAGTTCGACCACGAGCAATTCCGCCGGGGGGGCAACTCGGGCCGCACTAAGACCCGCAGCAAGGCCGCCAGCACCGCCTCCAACAACCCCCACGTAAGTCAGAGTCTCACCTGCTCTGGCTCTGGGCGCCCAGAGCACAACAATGCTATGCCCACTGGCATTCTGGGAGGCCCCGTGGTGTTTTGCAGCGAGAAGTACAAGATCTACTGCGACTGAGGTGGATGAGAAGTGCGCGGACTGCTGTGTACAGAGGGGAGGGGGCCTACGGTCCAATCCCTCCCTGCCTTAGTGTTAAAGAGCCCCACTCGCTCGCTTAGCTCCCTGGCCAGCCTGCGCTCCTCTAGGGACTGCTGTGTGACTAACCGGCTGCTCGTGTGTGCTAGTGTAAACGCTTAGGGGAATGCAGATGTATGTACAGTGTGCACTAGACGTTTGGACTGTAGTAGACATATATGGCATGTGGATTATAGGGCCCCGGTTATATTGGGGGTTTTGTGGATTATGGAGTGTCTATTCTTTCCTGTCATGGTGCTGTACGTATGATGTAAAAGGTGGCAGCTTTTGTGCTTGTTTGTTCGGGCCCCCTGAGTGTATTGCCTGGTAACAGTAACACATTGTGGGGGTGGGGACTTGGTGGCATTGGTGCTCCTTTAAGAAAAGCCCCCTTTTCTCCCCTGCCTCTCCATCCTGGTCCTCCCAGGACTGACCTGTGTCCAGCAGCCCACTGTCTAATCAGGTCACTCTTTAAGGAAAAGGAACTTGAAGAAAAATCTACTAAAATATGCAATCTCCCTCTGCTTTCTTGCTAGGGGGAGCACAGTGTTATTTTACACAGAAATTCAAAACCTCCTACATTGGTTGGCTGCTGGTTTTCTGATGGAATTGTCGGGGCAGAAAAGGAGCACCTGTACACCACAGGTGTTTATTTCAGGATCAATTTAAAAGCTGTGATGCTAGCACACCAATACAATAGGGTCAGTAGAATCGCATGGCTTTGCAGCTGAAAATGCTTTTTAACTGTTTTTCCGTTGTGGGGGCTCTACATTGTAAAAAGAGGAGTTATTTGGTGTCTGGTGAAATACAGGAGGGCTATTCCATGTGACCCATTATGTTATGATGGATTCTTTCAGAGCCATATAATAAGAGAGAAAGAAAGTTTGACAAATCGATTTCCACACCCAAATTAAGTGCACTTCAGCATAGGTGCCTCAGGTTCCTACTTCTGTTAAAAATGGATATAATGATTACTGTGAAAAGAGATACAATATAGTTTTGATCAAAGGTGATTTTTTAAATATGGAGCAAATCCTAGAAGAGCACAAATCAAAAAAGGCACCCACATGTGAATAATAAGTCTGCAAACAAAACCAACCGACCACTCGGCAAAAGTGCCTGTCGACCCCAAACACTTGATATATTTATATCTATCTGTTGACGTAAAGCCCTGTCCTTGTGTCCCACCTTGAGCTTGAGCTATCACTCTTTTCCTTCTCTCCCCCACATCTCACTTAGGGTGATCTCAAATAATTTCTGGGTGGTTATGTGACTGAAAATCCTTCCCTCATATAATTTCCTCTTTCTGTCTCTAGTCGTTTTGTCACCATAACAACCTTCTCTCTTTTAGATTGTCAGCAGCTTGCTCCCCCAGCATCACCACTCACCCTTTAACTAGAATGAGGAATTGTGGGGAAAATTGCCCTCAGAATATTTTTTGTCAGGTAATCCTCACGTATGACGTGTTCCCGATATTTGCCTGTGTGTGTGTATATGAGCGTTCGAGTGGCCCTCATGTTTGTATTATGTTTTAACCTTTGCAAATGGAATCACTCATTGCTGTTTCTTTGTTTTTTTTGGTGTGTGAGGAAAAAGCGATCGTAATGTTTTAGTATACACAATAGCTTTAACCCCTTGCAAGCTAGCATTACGCAAATAGGAAAAAAATATAAGTGGGGCTTGTGTTTAATAAATCCATGTACTGCATAAAGCTAAAGCTTACACATTAGCTTTATGATGCCAAAAGCAGGGTTGATATGAGGAAATCCTGCAAGATTTATCAAATGATGCATTTTCTACTACTAATAAGCTATATATTAAACTCTATATTCTTAATATGATCATGACCAGGTTATAATCTTGCAGGATCCTACTACAGTATTCTTTCCTCTCAACTATAAAGAGAGGGAGCTTAATTATTCCACTGAAAATGGAATATCATCAGCGGTCAACCCTGCTTGAATGTGCATCCATAAGCCACAGCGCACAGCTTGGAGACAAGGCTATCGTACACATTAAGGTAAAAAGACAACCTCCTTAGAGGTCAATCACTCTTTAAGTTTGAGATTCACCTAACTTGCAAGTGCGATATATTCTGTTTCTATCAATTTGCGCTGACTGAGAAAAGATTTTTGGGGGAGTAGAGGAGGGAGAACTACTCGATGTTGTAAACCAGCTCCTGAGAGAGGAGATAAGAAAGCCAGACATGCTGATGAAGAAATCCAGATGTCTGGCCGAGAGTTGACTCTGATACTGTGGAGAAATGAGTCCAGGGGTTTCCTGAGGGAGAAACTCCTGGTAATTGTTGGAGGAAATATAAAAAGAAACTGAAGACTGGTTGTTCAGTCAACCAGAGGACATTGATTCAAATTAGTTGAGCACCTAACCCCTCCACCTTGTATAGGCTCTGTGGAATCACTGAGCAGTAGATAGATGCCCCGGATGTGATTGTGCTAGAACCCCCTCTCCCTACATAGATGAATTCCCACTTCACTCCATCTAGTTTGAAATCAATGTCTGGCTTATCTGGTGTCATGACAACATGCCACCTAAAAAGCTCCTCCTACCTCTGCTTGCAGGCTCCTCCCACTTCACCTTTAAGTTTTACTACATATGATGCATCCATCTGATTTATAATAAGCCTGCATGTCAAAAACACAATCCATTTTTCATTAACTTGCATGGCATATGAGAAACACCCCTCTCCTTTGACCTGGGTGGTGGGATATGGCTTCAACTCTGTCCTATGAATGAAAGGTAATGGTACTGGTGAGTTATTGGCTTCCTAACTGCACCCACAGGATAATTTCTGGTGAATGCGCTTTCACATCAGCTCCTCAAAAAGCATATTGACCATGTCAGTATGATAGAAAAGCTCCTGACAACACCGGCTGCCTCAGGGCTCCTAACATGGCTTCTCTTGCTTGGACTAACTACAGCCGCCCGCAGCTTTTGTCTGTGTGGACTCCGCTGCTGACCGTGTTACCAGTCGCTCTAAATTGACAAATAATGCTAATGCTGATCTTTTTTTTTTTGTTTCTTCATTTTGCAGTAATTGCAGTAGTTCTGCACGGATGACGAAGTACCAGCACAAGGTCCTTTCTCACTGCTGATTGAGTTTGCCGAAAAGACTTAGCACTAATAGGCTATTTGGACTTGAAGACCAAAAAAAAACAAAGACAAAATGCTAAATGAAAACAATGATTTCCAGTCAAATAACTACTTACTACTTATTTCTTTTTCATGTGATGTCTAGCGGAATGACACGTGGTCTCATTTTTGCGTGCTGCTGCTGGAAGCCAATTTCTCACAGGTGCAATGAACTGATTCTGACCAGACTTTGTGATTGGCTAATCTAACCCTCCAATGATAAGCCGGGGGACATGGGGTTGTTTCTCAATGTACATCAACAAGCTGTTTTTGTCTGGGTTCATCTTTGTTTTTTGTTTTTTTTTAATCTGTGCACTTTTATTATATAGGATCATAACAGACTATTAACCTATAGGAAAGCGTGGTAGTACTATGGTTTGTGAGTAATTCAGTATAGGTTATAAAACTATAGGATTATATGTCCTCCTGAATCATCTGAAATTAAGTAACTATTTACTCTAGTAAAGGCTCCACAAACCACAGACGTACTATTATGACTTTATCCTCAAGAATTTATCCATCAAATAATCATTCTTAAATTGTTTTGTTACATCATATGTTATGCTGTTGATTTTCTTTTATGTTTGTTCTACTGCCATGTTCTATACAAAAATCCAGGGTGATCAAATTCTGGGGTTTTTTCATGTATTTATTATTCCTAGGAATAGTTCAGAATAACACGATGAAACTTGACAACGCTCTGACTCAAATAGGTAAGTTGTGTTTTGGGAAAAATTTGAGCGATATGATATGCTTTTCCTAGCTTCTTACCGAGGGCGTTCCACTGAAACGGGATCACTGGCTTTCAGAATTCTCTGCAAGTGCAACGATTAAATTCCAAATTGGAATTGTTTCATTCTCTCTTTGTTTATCGTGCCAAATCTTGGTACACCGTTTAGGTTGAAAAGAATCAAGACTCGGAAATTAAGACAAGCCGTCACTGAGGAAGAGGTAGTGCGGGGCCATGGCTCTCCGTTTGAGTGCCGGGGTTTTGTTTTTTGTTTTGTTTAGTTCTTCGTTTCTGACCAGTAGTGCCTTTCATTGTTTCAAGGGAGAATCATAGTACAAGTATTTTATGTTTTCGTTTTTTTATAGGTAAGGACTTAGGGTTCAAAATTGTGAGCAGCAATAAGTGCAAAGGGAATTTTCCCCTGTCTGCATGAGTGAGATGATAGTTTTAAAAATTAGCTCAATAAAACTGAAATTGTATTGAATTCTGCAGGTCAGTGATCCATTCAATAAATTCAGGGGTATTAAGAAATTGTTGTTTTTTTATCAAACGTTGGGAACCAAAAGAAATCCCTTTGGCCTCCTGTTATTGAACAAAATGCTCCAAGCATCTGTAATGTTTTGGGGTAGATCGGTGTACTATTGGAAACATCTACGTATCTCTAGCATTGTTTGGTGAAGGTAATGTGATATCAATAGTATTGTTGAAAAAATGTGCAGAGAGCGCATTTTATCTTTCTTTTTGTCCAGTTTGAGTTTTGTTTGTTGTTTTTTTATTCTTTTTTTTTACATCATCTTTGAGCATTATGTTTTCAGGAAACAGAAAACAAAATAAGCATCAACAAGCTTGAATAGTGCCATTACAGCCAATGCTTGTTTGTTGAGGCGTAAAAGTTACCAATATGGATGAGAAGCTAAAAAAAGTGCAATTCAGATACTGTTATACATTAAAAAAAAGGAACAAAGTTTTCTGTTTGCTGGAAGCGATAGCATTGTGATAATAAAATTAGCTGTGCAAACTTTATATTGTCATATTGTGTTTCAGTATTGATCCATAATAAGAGTTTGATATCTTTATATGAAATAATGACTTCACCTGTATGTTGGTATTTATTTGAATTGTCATGCAGTACTGTATTCTTATCAATAATGTGCATTATGATTAGTGGCATATTGATTACAGCTAAATGTCATATGCATGTTTTTCAGTCATGGGACCTTTACACAGAATTGAAAACAAACGTAAACTTTTGTCAGGGTGTTAAAAATATTGGGGGAATAAAAGAAAAGAGTTAAGTCTGATGTATTACTGCTGAACTAACCCTTTGAAAGTGTTTTGTTTGTTTTCCAGTAGAGAGGCGGTATGTCTGTGTAAAGGTAGTCATACTGGCTAAAATCAATAAATGTGACTTAAGTTTCAAAGTGTTTCAGTGATGTTATTTATAGCTCCTCCACGGCAGCAGCAAATGAAGGGTTAAACAGGGGAGTATATGTTCTGCAGCCCTGGTATCTCCTCAGAGTGTTCCCAGCTGGAAGCAAGTGGCAGGGTAACTTCCCAGCTGTCTGAGCGGCTCCAGGACATGATCGCATTTCACACAATGCACAAAAACACTTCCACCCACCCACCCACTGCCCTCAAGCCTCTCTCTCTCTCTCTCTCTCTCTCTCCCTGTCTTTTCTCTGCTGTCTCGCTTAAACCTTGCTCCTCCTTCTCCCTCCTCGACCTTCCTCCATTTCCCATTTCTTTTCCTTTCCTCCACTCTCCCTGCCTTCTGGAGATACAGCCACACACTGATCGAAGCCAGTTTCTTTTGACCCTCGGTGCACCCAGCACTTCCTGTCCAGGCTCTGGAGGCCATTGCTCTGTACAATTAATGCTACAGTGAGTTTTTGTTGCAGTTGTTTAAAAGGGAGGAGAAAAAACAAGCCATACTTGTATTCAAAAGAGACTGGTTCATTTAGAGTACTGTTTGATCAAAAAGCCCAAAAGTGGTTTTGAAGGAATGTGCAAACACGCACAATTCACATACTTAAACTTGTGCATTACTCTACATGAATATAGAAATGGGAAGCAAAGGGTTAGCCTTCAACAGCAAAGACTGAAAATATTATTAGAATATACTACTAAGGTACAGAAACTGTTGCATGATTTCTACTTGAGGTTCCCAATTTATTTTTATCGGATGTACCCCCAGCACTATTAATTATATATATGTGTGTGTGTGTGTGTATGTTTGTATGTATGTATGTATATAATAAATAATAATATATGTGTGTGTGTATGTATGTATGTATGTATGTATGTATATAATATAATAATATATATATGTGTGTGTGTGTGTGTGTGTATATGTATATGTATATGTATATATATATATTGTAGGTAGATGTTTAAATTGTGATCCTGAAATTGTTCATGTTTAGGCTTGGCTCTTTTTTTCTGTAGGTTTGGTCAAGTCTACGTTCATACCACTTTGGAGTGGCAAAAGCTGAATTTTTCAGCCATTTATCCATCAGCTTTTGCAATCTAATTTGAATTCTCTAACTAGTTTTCACACCAACCAACCCGAGACAGCTGTAACACCTGAACATCTGCGATTTGCAAGAGGTGTCTCCTCTGCTGTCGGCTTATTGGAGCTGGTTGGTTATTGGATATTGTGACAAATAACATACCAAAGATCAGCCTCACACCAATTTGTATATTTATAATATAAATAGTTTATTTTATGTGTTTATTAAAAATGCCTTTGTCAGATTAGCTGAGCTACTCTACACATTTCCCACATATGCCCCAGCTACTGCAGAGGTGCCCCCTGATGTACACATACTCCCAGCTGGAAATACCACCGAACAAAAATTAGTTGATTTGTTCTGAAAGCTACAAGCATTTCTCTTATGAAGACTACTCCAACACTGCTGCATACCATAAAAGGACAAGTGTGTCATTCTGATTTTAACTGTTTGGCCCTAACAGACAATTCTACCAAGTGGTCCACCATCTTTAATTCATTGCAGAAATGGTCAGACACAGCGTCCCCCAATTTGAAGTTGGAAGGTATTCGACCATCTGACAAACAGTTCTGATGGAGCATATTGGCACCCTAAGAAACGTTTGTCAGAGGTAAATCAAACAAACTGAAATTCATCTTGAGTGAGCCTTAACAGCCAAATGGCTTAAATGCTTCAGCAATTTATTATTGCACTTTCATAAAGTTGGCAGATATATATACAAATCACAAATTAAAAAAAGAAAACAGAGTTATCCTAATTTTTTGTCCTTAGTATGGGTCAAGCTCCAAAGAACACTGGATACTACACTTCCCATAATGCAACTCAATAGGGTTGGGTCATCAGGTTTTTTTTTTAATTATTTTATCAAGTTTGGAAAGCTCTTTCCGGAGCTGCAGAACACAAAAGCTGACATGTACGTCTACCATTTATCATACAGTATAGCTTCAGTAAATCAACAGCTCCTAATCCTCTCAGAATTAAAATAACCTGGAATCAATTACGTTAATAATCATCCACCCACGCACCACTGTGATTTAGTACAGTGAAACCACTCGCTGTCATTTACCATATGCCTTGCTGATGGAAATTGAATGGCAGTGTATTAATGAGAGCCAGAGGGAAGAGGTAATTTCACTGGCGTCACTGTAGCAACAGTGCAGTCTTTGTTGGTGCCAGTCTCCTCTTATAACCTCCCCACCCAGGGCTCCACTGGCAGAGGAAATATGGGTCAGTGAGATTCATTCCATGGCATCAGTCCTGCTCTATTAATATGCAGGTGCTGTGATTACACTCTGGATGGAGGAGGATTCATGCAGCAGAGCAGCTGTTTAATATCTCAGCTGATGCACTATTAAATTTCACCACTTGGGGTCTCTACAATACTGTATAATACTGTTGTTGACACACAGCCTGAATCCTTAAAAGTTACTTAAAGTTCTAACACCGGCCTTAAAAGGCTAACAGAGTGTGTGTTTGCACTTACAAAGAGACCTTTTTATGTGTATCAGCCAGCGCTGTCATGTGATGAATCCATGTGGAGCCTAAAGGGACAGAGAGCCTTGATCAGCTGGTCTGGGGAAGCAGCACTAATCAACAACACCACACGTGCTTTACATGAATTTGCTTCAAGCACACACAGAGATACACAGATTTCTCTACTGGAGCAGAAATAATATCACTAAGGATTTGAACAAATTTATGATGTGTGGAGTGTGAGCTCAGCCTCATGATGCATTAAAACATTCCTTAGTCCTGACACTGGACGCAGGGTGTGAGTGTCCTCCCATCTGTGTGACTCATGTACTATCTCCACAAAACTATTGGTGTGGCGTCAAAATGCCAGTTTACCGCAGTATTGTCTGTGACAAATAACAGATGAAGTGTGGATTCAGTCATTACTCTAGACTGGCACCCCAGTCTAGAGTGTGATTAGTGATCTGATTGGGGCATTTACACCATGAGAGTTTCAGATACGTGTAAAAAGCACTATGCAGCTCATCTCACACTCATCTGTGTCGACTTTCGCACCTATCTTTCAGCTTGGCTGCTCACATGCCACTCTCCTAATTGTCTTTTTTCGTATATCTCACTGTCCACACCTTTCCCCCCTCTCCCTTTAATTCCTTTCCCCTCTCGCTCTCTTCCTCCTTCCTCCCCTTCTCTCTGCTCTGTGCTTATGAGTGGAGGAGCCCCAGGGAAGCGGAGGAGAGGATGTATCCCAGGGGGGCTGTTTGGTGTTCTGCTGTCTGTGGACCAGCATGCCCCTAGACGAGCTGACAGGCAGCTCCGTGCACTTGGTCTATTTAAAACACGAGCTCAGTCATCCACAAAACACTTGTCCTTTCAGACTCTGCACTGACATGTTCCGAATCATTCTCAAAAGCAAAGAAGAAAAAGGATAAAGCAAAAAAAGTGGTGTGTGTTTTTTTCTGTTTTTGCATTTGCTTGTGTCTGCAAAGTGGAAGTCATGTTTTGCAAATTATGGGATTAGTGAGCACTGTGCAGTCAGTGAGCTGGTATAAATGTGGGAAGAGGTGATATATAAGATACAGCTTATTAGAGAGGAGTACAGGGAGGGTCAATGAAGTGGCCCATTGCCTGGCAAGCAGCCAGACGAGGAGCCATTATCATTAGAGACCCTGCTGTTGTCTGTGTTGATCTGAGGCAGATGAAACACGTGCAGCGGCAGCCACAAAAAAGGGTTAATGATGCGTAGCTGAGTCGACACAAGTCTCGGGGGGCGGGGGGGGGCTGCACAGACAGATGGACACAGAGTCATGCTCCTAAAGATTGGCTGAAAATAGTCACATCATTAGAGGAAACACATTTACAAAAAGACAAGCAGTGGTGAAAGCTGCTATACACAAATCTCCATTCATGTTTTAGACTTTTCTCTAATCTTGGCGTTTTTGGCAAAATATTGGACAATTTGACCTCTCTGGGCCTCAAACAGTTATTTCAACAACTTTTATTTCAACAACTCATAAACAAGTGAAAGGTGACAAGGGGCCCCACCTAGACACTTTGTTTGGGAGCCACAGGTTTAATTTTTACACAACAATACAATGTTTTTTATAAGCGTAACCTGAAAAGTAGTATAGCGGTATAATAAATGTAGTCAATTAGATGTATAAAATAGCACAAAAGGTAAATATTCAAAAACGTATAGTGGCTCAAAACTGTAAAAACTGCACAGTTTGTTTAAATGCACTTATTAACTGTTACTTAGCTACTACACAGCTTTCAAAGAGTCATAAACAAATGCTATCAGAATCTGAACTTTGAAACAGGACATACGCAAACACTACATTTTATGGCTATAAACAATTGCAAATTCAAAGTTTGATTTCTCCTTCTGTCGTTTCCTTATTACTGTGTACAATGGCACACAGAAGCAGCTGACAGCGTCCATTCAGCTGGCCTGGAAACTCAAGATGATCAATGAAGAGATTAGGAGAAAGCCTGAGCAGTGACATGGAAATGTAGTGCCAGTTAATGTTCGTGCTCCAGCCTCGTTTTCCACAAGAATGGGCAGGCTGTGGAGCTATCTCTTGAAATAGGCCTCATCTTTTTCTTGACATCACGTGACATCCCATGCCAAACCAATGCCTCTGCGCCGATGGGCATGTCATGGCTGAAAATGCAACATCACTTAAAGAGAGAAAACTACAGTTTAGGGAGACACTGAAACGAAAGGAGAATGGAGTACGCTGCTTAGGATGTGGCAGCTGCTTTAAAGTCCAGCACCAAGTTAAAGGATAAAATTAACTCGGCTATTGCTTTTTTCCTATGCTAATCTTTCATTCTAGCATTCCCACTCAGTGAATGGTGTTGTCGTGTGCGCGCCTCGCACAGGGAGCGCGCATTTTCTTTTTTCTTTTTCCAGCGGCACAGAGGAAAGACTTTCTGGA